TACGTCCTCGCCGACAAGTAACGAGATGCATATCCATCGTGAACCTTTTTTACAGTACAAGAAAAGACCTATACTCTATGTTCTATACTTAAAAAATTACGAAAAATGGGACATTCGACGACTTCTATGACCTGATGTCCGCTGTGAAGCGATACGAGAAGGTAGATTTTAATAACTTATCTGTTCAATTTGCAGGCTTGCACACTGAGCCTCAAGCTGCGGCCGAATTACACCTGCACTGATAATCTGAAGCACCTATATTTACGCTTCGTTTACTGCCATGGCTTTCGCGCTGTAGTTTGAAAACAAAATCGGCGTAGGCCTTTAAATTAAAAATTAAATCAGTGTAGGTCGTTAAATTTCGGCTGTACGGCTCGCTTCACTGCGATGGAACTTTGGGGTAAACTGAATGTGGAAGTGCCTAATTTGAGCCCAAACTACATTTTTAGTAGAAAGATAGCGACGGCCTGCCCCTAGTTCTGGCGGCTTACAGGGGATCAGGAGGAAAGTCTCCTGAATATGATCCAGCAGATACGACCGTAAGCTGGGCCTTTAACCGTGCACCTTCGAAGTACATTTGGTTAATCTGAACGCAATTATAGGTTGCTATGTCCTGAATTATAAGATGAAGAACCTGCCAAATATGCGCTGTCGGCTGTTTCGGTTTGATCTCGCTGTTTTAGGGATGAAATATGCCTTCTTTCTTATGAAGAGTGGCTACGACCCTGATTTATTCTGCAGTGAAGAGGAAATTCGGTCCGCCTCCTTTACGACGCCGGCGCTGCGGGCGACGTATACTGAATACCCGCAGATAGAATTCCGGCCCTAGCACTTCGCGAACTTGCTAATGAACTGTGTAAACCCTTATCTGCAATATTTCAAGAGTCATTTGAAGACGGCGAGCTACCGGAAGAATGGAAGTGCGCACTCATTACTCCGATCCATAAAGGAGGCTCAAGGCTTGACTGCGGAAATTATCGTCCTGTCAGTCTTACTTGCATCGCGTGTAAAATAATGGAACGCATTATCAAAAGACACTTGATGGAATACCTGGAACAGAACAAAATATTGTGCGATGCCCAACACGGCTTTCGTCCAGGGCGCTCCTGCCTAACGAGTGTTCTTTACTCGCACGAGAAATGGACACGAGGTACCGATAAGGGTTTTCCAGTACATGTCATATTTTTTGACTTCAAGAAGGCCTTTGACAGTGTCCCACACAGGCTTCTTTTGCAAAAGATCTGGGATGTAGGGATTCAAGGGAGAATGTTTAAGTGGATTAGAAGTTTTCTGTCCTCCAGACTACAAAGAGTGGTCGTTAGTATTTCTACCTCGGAATGGGTAAAGGTGGAAAGTGGTGTCCCACAGGGTTCTGTCTTAGGCCCAGTACTCTTCCTGATTTATGTTAATGACTGCATCAGCGAAGTGAATTGCGAGGCTCTAATGTTCGCGGATGACATAAAAATATGGAGTGAAGTCAAATGCGATGATGACGCAGAGAAGTTGCAGTCGAACATCAACAAACTGTGTGCTTGGTCGAACAGATGGCTTTTGAAGTTTAACGTGTCCAAATGCGTGGTTTTGCACCTGAACACCGGCCGCAATGCCTCTCCCAAACACCAGTACTATATTGACGGAACGAGGTTAGAAACTGTGGAAAGACACAGAGATCTGGGTGTATGGACGACCACAAATCTATCGCCATCAGAACACTGCAGAAAGATGGTCCAGAAGGCAACTAGTACTCTACACTGGATCAGACGTGCATTTAAAATATTTCCTCCCGAACTTTTCGAAAGACTCTTTGGTGTCTTTGTAAGACCTCATCTAGAGTATGGAATGCCAGCAGCCTCACCATAGATGAGGAAGGATATTAACTTACTCGAACATGTGCAACGCAGAGCGACAAAGATGGTCGACGGTCTAAAGCATTTGTCTTATCAGGAGAGGCTAAATTTGCTTGGCCTATTCCCTCTCTCTTATAGACAAATAAACTGCAGTCTACTCTGGCCCTTCCGGATTGTTCGCGGCCAGGGTTGCTCATTAAGGGCAGAGGACTTCTTTGAGTTCGCCCGTACAAACCAACTACGCGGCCATGCATTCAAAGTCGAGAATGAGCGCACACGTTTATACCGACGAAAATTTTTATTCATCCAGCGGGGTGTCAGGCCGTTGAACTCGCTTCCAAGCGAGATGGTGACGGCTGACACAGTTTGTGTGTTTAAAAGAAAACTTGCTCGCCTAGTTTTCGACAGAAATCGGCTTGTACAGCATGACTATGCACAGCCAGTTTTGTAAAATCTGTCATATACAATCTTCCGCACTAATTTACAGTGACCCCATGCATTACCTTATGATTACGATTGAACTGTGACCCAATCACATTTTAAATGCCTGCAATTTAATTTTATTTTTGAGTATGATTCTGCGAAAGCACTGTACATAAATAGGGTCATCAAGGACTCTGCCTGTAACCATTCAATATACATACATACATACATACATACATACATAGGTGGTGTGACTGGACGTACCCCACCCCCCTCACAAGAAAAATAGGCAGAGATAAGCATTTTACCATACTGTGGTATCTGATAAGCGTGGCCATGCTCAGTCCGTGTTCTATACGTTTGTAACTCTAAACGACGCCCTCAGCGTGCAGTTGATCGTTAGAAAATTTACGAAAATAGGATCTGTGGCCGACAAATTATGCACTCTGATCATAAAATAGACGCTCGTGAAGTCAGAGCTTGGAAAGAGATTTTCGTAATAATCAAGTTCCAGTACTTATGTGCACATTTCGTATGGTTTAAGTTTTTAGGTACAAACGGGGTAGTATATATAGAAATGTTAGAGCGGAAAACGTATTGTACCTTTTCCGGAGGACTATTTAGGCTCGATCATTTCCTTTTTTCGAAATAATAAAGAATTACATTGGGGACATTTCCCCGAGATTTGGCTGTGCCCTGTGGGCAACTGGTAGCAGTGCAAACGCCGGTGGGCCACTTATTCCGGACGAAAGGCGGTAACGTACGGTGACAACGCAACAAAGAAGATAGATAACTTAACTAGTATGTTAACGCAATAATGCAGGTCGTATATGTGCCTCACGGATTGTGTTGGCAGCTTTATATAAGTTCGGACTCCAAGACCATGGAGGATGAAATAATAAAGGCAGATAAGTATCGTCGCCGCAGGCATTATAGAGATTTGGAACGTCACGTGGTGACTGTGTGCAAAATGCTAACTGGGTATGCCGCATATGCCCAACCAAGCCATCTTCCTACGTTAGGCATTCGAGTGATGCAACCGACACGAGTAGCTGTCTGGTCAATCGGAACTGGCAGCTGCTGTGTGTGCAAATCCTCAATTTAATCAACCACAATTGCACCGACCACCGCCGGGCTCTTGGAAGGACCAGGTGGCTCCCAAAATTAGACGTATGTGAAAACTCGCCAATTGTCGAGAATTTTGAGCTGGGAGACGTCACCTTCCTTCCGTCCGACATTCTTGTCAGGAAGGACAGGTGGCTGCTGACGGAGGCTTACAGTCATATTATTATATCGTTGATTTCACTCTCTGTGCTAGCCATTCCACTTCAAATTTCTGGTTATATCGAGTGCAGATATCTGCTCTCGTTTCGTTGTTTTTTGGCCTGTTGTTCCTCTGTCTTTTGACATGCTCTGGTTTACAGGGTTTATTATGTCGCATTTTGTTTGTCTTTGTTAGTCGTGCCTGCCATCTTGGTGTTTTGGTTGCGTATGGATTGCGTCGATTTGTAACGTCCGTGATCCGGTTGGGAGCGAACCCAGAAAAAGAATTAAGGTGGTTTATGAAAAAATTATCGGGCGTGTATTAAACTGAACCCATATACAGTTCTTTCTCATGACCTAATGTGCACAGGTAGAGCCGTAGGAGCTCTTACTCAGTAGCAAATTCGGTGAATAACAGAAAGCCGGGTCAGGAGCGTCCTATTTGCTTTCTTAGTTAATCTTCCGACGTATTTACGGGGCCTCAGGTGTCGAATCAGTCCAGAGATTCAAACCCAGCGCTGGGATTGGTCGGGAGGCATTGTTAAGAGAAAATAGTGCAAACTCCAGCCATCGTCATTCCACTTAATTTTTATTTATGACACGTTTCTATGTTAGGTAATTTCGTAAGAAACCCAAATAATAACATACAAGGCACTACGTTTTAGCTCACCAATCTGCATAGTCACAGTTGTCCCTGTAAACACCAGCCCTATAAAAAGCAGTGCTGGATGTGCGCGCGCATGCGCGTGAGTTACAGTTCATTACCTTGCCCCCTCCCAAGGAAAGGATCTGCAGTCCTCAGCGACATCTGGTATCGCAATAGCTGTGCCCCCTCCAGGGGGTACTTCCATAATCTTTTCGAATCTTTGTTCATCGCTGGGTTCCTCATGCCTCACAGGGCCCCCTTCAAGAAGAACCTCTAGATATCGCTCGACAAACTTGTTGTCGTTCTGGTGAGGCGGGCCGGCTTGCGGTTTGGAGCAGTAGATACTCTCATCCTTCGTTGGTGCGGGTTTTAGGCGACTAAAGTGCACAGTGAACTCACTCGAGTCTGGCCCATCCTGTCTACGAATGAGACAAGTCCTTTCCGACAGGACTTTAGTAACGACGTAGGGGCCAGTTCATTTAGGATTGAATTTCTGGGATGCTCTCGTGGATAACGCAAAATTGCGCATCCACTGTCTCCCACACCGTACGGGGTGCCGCGCACCAACTGGTCGTAAAAAGCCTTTTGGTGACGCTGCCCGTCCTACAGATGCAAACGGGCCTCCTCTGAGGCTACGCATAAAGCTTTTTGCAGTCATAATACATACGTGTCGACATTTTCTACCTGATTCAAAAGTTGGAGTTGAAGATCCGCAGGAAGTTGCACTTCCCGGCTGCATTTTAGGTGGAATGGGGTACGTTTTGTGGTTACATTTACCGTGGACCGATAGGCTAACATGCACGTCGGCAGTGCTTCATCTCATGTGGGCGTTGCGTTCCTGTCTACAAAAGCTCTTAGCAGAGTGGTCCATTTTCTGTTGGTCCTCTCAATCTGACCGTTACCCTCTGGATGGTATGCGGCTGTACGAGCCATCTTAATCTTTAGGAACCTATACAGCTCATTTACGACAGCATTCCCGAACGATGAGCCTCGATCATGGTGCAATTTTTCCGGTGCTTCGCAGCAGCAAACGCTGCCATTAAATACGGCTCGGGCCGCCGTTGTCGCTGAAACGCCAGGTCATGGCACTGCCTCGGCCATTTTGGTAAGGAAATTCAACGTAACAAAGATGGATCTTTTCCATGCAGAGGACAGTGCGATCAGACCGACATGGTCTACGCCCACCCTCTCGTTGGGGTAGCCTGTCTTGATGCGCTAGAGAGGAGCCCTCCGGGAATGAGTTGGGGATTTCGAGCACAAGCAGAACTGGCATAAACGGACAGGAGTTTGAACGTTTCGTTTTTGGTTTGGTCGGTAGTATCGTCGACGGAGGACCCACTCATCCTTGCGGATACGCGCGTGACCTAGTTCTCTGCATTCTTGCCACTACGTCGTCGACCATCGAAAGTAGGCGGACAACTTGTTAAATATATTAGTCGCTGTCGCGGTGGATGAGAATGCCGTTCTCAGTGAATAAATCTTCACACAACGTGCGCATGCAGCGAGTATCATGACTATGTCCATCAACTTCATGCGTACTGAGGGGTCTAGCACCGTTAGCCATTCTGTTATAAATGGGAGAGATATGTGGGTCGTCCCTCTGAGACGCAGCCCAGAGCAGATATTGGTCACTTTGCAAGACGACGGCGGATATAGTGATGTCAGTACAGGACGGACATTCCCCTGTGGCTGATCAGGTTCCCTTGAAAGGACATCTGCATTTCCATGCTGACGACCCGATCGGAATATGCATTCAACATCAAACTCCGCTAACTTCTCTTGCCAGCAAGCTACCTGCCCTTCAGGGTCCTTAAAGTGTCCTAGCCAAGGTAAAGAGCCACGGTCGGTACGTACTATTGGCGGTCGGGGCTAGAGGTAGGGTCAACAATCCTCGATAAAATATGTAAGTTCGAGCATCTCTTTACTGGTGACATGATAAGCGGCGCTCAAGACAGACTAGGTCAGCTGGCTTGACAGGACGGACAACGACAGACAGCTGATGCGTGAGAGGGGTGGGCACCGAGTTATGGAAGGCTGTGGCCGGCAGTCGACCCCGTGTGAATGTTTTTATCCGTGTGATTGGCCCTGCCTGAACTGACTCCAGCCTTGCGCGGAGCGCCTCGTAGGCGGGATGTAGGTCTGATGGCACATCGACGTTAGGATGGTTTTCGTCCAACCTTTGCGGTCTAGGACTTAAATTTTCGTATGACGTACTAACTTCGGCCTAGGAACTTTCATAGTATTGCCCTGCTGCAGTTTACAATACAAGGAGTTATCGAGTCCTCTTCCATAAACCGACTGTTTAAGGCACTTCGCAGGTGAGTTGGCCTTGTAATAAAATGGAGTGACAGCGTCCCCTTCATGAAATAGCGACGGGCCCTTATAGTATTTTCGGACAGGTCTTTTGAGGTTCACCCCGTCTTTCCCATTTTTAGTGTTCGATGAATGGACAGGTTTAGTTAGCGTAGCAAGTGGTGA